TTTTTTCTGTATCCCTTTTTTCTCTAATTATATTTTGAGCATTTCCAACATCTTAAAATTTTCAAGAATATGATTTTTATTGGTGCACTATATTTAATTAAATGGCTACTATGTGATAAGCATTTTTAGTCAGCATTTAAGTGTGTCTGCTTTTGCTGTCAATGTTATGTTTTAAGCTTAATATATGTGCTTAAAACTCATCTCCAATTAATCCTCCATATAAACTTTATCTAAATCTCTGGTAACACCTCTTCTTTTTTCATCTCTTGTAACTATCTGAATCTTTGAAAAGGAGGTGGTAGTAGAAACAGAAGAGAAGAGAAATAATGGGACTAATGATAGGAAATAGCCATCAGGGCTGCTATAAGTTAGGAGGTGTTATTAAGCATGTGTGGCCTTGAATGAATTTGTAATAATAATGGTAATATTTGTAACAATTGAATAAAATAGAATTTGATTTGATCTTTTAAAAAATACATTCTTTGGCATTATCAAAAAAGAAAATGTGTGTGGTTAATCCCTTGGTACTAAGAAAAAGCCTGTTTGGGCTATTTTTTTGTTATCTATTATCAATCCTGTCTCTTATTCCCTATACTCCTAAAGCCATGGCAATAAAGAAGAATTCTCCTGCAGAGGAATACAACTTGCTGTGGATTGGTTTCTAGATAAAGGCCATAAAGATATTACTGTATTTGTGCCTGCATGGAGAAAGGAGCAATCCCGCCCTGATGCACCAATTACAGGTACTATTTCAAATGAGGCATTTCTCTTATCTAGAGGCAGAGCTAGCAAGATAGTTTGGGGAGAGGTTGATGGTCCCAATTTTGATGACTAGTTTTCTAAGTTGTTAAGTTATACTTAAAATGTCTTTTATTAAGTATATTTTTGATAACACAATCCAAATAAAACCACTCTTGTTTTGTGGCATATGGCAGTGAAATAGAGACAACTTCAATTCAGCAAAGCATAAAGCACATAGTTGGAAAGAAAGAGTGCTTTTCTATTTGACCGTAGACTTCAGACTAAATGGGATGAATCTGGTTATGAACATGACCAAGTTTTTCAAGAGACTAAAGAAACCATGGTAGACAAGGGGTCTCATTCTATACCAGGGAAGTGATTGTAGGATTTGCACATTAGAGGGTGAAACAGAGAGAGAGAGAAGTCCCATGGCAGCCAGAGCAGACTTATGCACGAGGCACAGTAGGCCCAGCGTATAGGGCTAATGATACTTTTAAGGTCCCACAGAAATGTTTTAATTTTATTGTTTGTCACATCAGAAGGAAAAATTGAATATAATAACAATGAATGTATAATAATGTATCTTCTGGATTATATTTGGCTTTATACCAATGCAGTTGTAAAATGAAATTTTTAATATTTCTTTATGGAGGAAGGGGTGCATGAAGGCAAAAGTGCCTAAGATCCACAGAAATCATGATGCAGTCCTAATGCCAGTAGGGTCACTACACTCACTTACACAGTAAGTGAATTACTGTCTGAGCTGTGTGTGAAACTGTCTGCCATTTGCTGAACACCTCAGTCTGGGAGTAGAACCTGGCCCTCCTCAAACCCAGCCAGCAAGCTTTCTCTCCTCAGCAATTAAGAGGCCAAAAGGAAAGGGGATCATTATTCAAATGTTATAGATTGATGTTCTACCTTAGTTTTGGCCTTCCTTCAGGTAGAAGCCAAAAATTTAAGTCCCTAGGAGTGATGCTTTACTCTTTTCTTGACAGACATATCCTCAGCATAAAATGCTCTGTTTTCTTCAACAGCCGAAAAGCTGGTGCTTTGGCCAATGGGCAAAACAAACATCAAGAATGCTAGGGTATCAGTATTACTTCTCACTCTTTTTTATTTTACTTTTCTTCATTTTTTTTCTTTTATTATTTTTTTACTTATCTCTATGGTGGTTTTTAAAACTTATATGTCATTGAATCTATTTCCTTCATTTTATCAAAAGGAAAACTGAACTCCTAAGGGGAAGGTGACATGCCTAAGGTCACAATCCAAATTGGTGTCATAGCTAGGAATAGAGCCCACTTTCTAAGGGCAAATAATATATTCATCTAGAACCAACTTTTGTTTTTGTGATATGGGGATAATGCTGTTAATTCCCAAAGATGATTTCTACTCTGTGGCGTATAATCATATTTCGACAGATCAAGATATTCTTCGTAAACTGGAGAAGGAAAAGATTCTCGTCTTCACGCCATCCCGAAGGGTCCAGGGCAGGAGGGTTGTCTGCTACGACGACCGGTTCATAGTCAAACTGGCTTTTGATTCTGACGGCATCATTGTATCTAATGACAACTACAGAGATCTTCAAGTCGAAAAGCCAGAATGGAAGAAGTTTATAGAGGAGCGATTGCTGATGTATTCTTTTGTGAATGACAAGTGCGTTTCTTTCCAGTAGTCTTTGAATAGCCTATATCCAAGTTATTAGTATGACTAGATTTCATTTCATTTCAATAAGCATTTACTGAACACTTACTGTGTACCATGCATTATGCTGGTTGTCATGGAGATAAAAGGCTGCATAAGAAACTGAAGACACCCTTAAGGGGCTCAATGTGTAGTAAAAAAGAGAGAAAAGAGACAAGCACAATGTATTGTGATAAGTATTACAGTTGAAGATTTAAAAAAAAAATTTTTGTCTACATGAAGTGATAAAAAAAAAGGTTTTCTCTGGCTGGAACATATAGTCCATGGAAGAATAACACACAGGGAAAATCATCCTTTCTATGTGATCAAGTGGGAACAAAGGGAAGAATTGCTGGATTAGCAGAAGATAGACTTGAGGCAGAAAGGGCAATTAGAAGGCTGTAACAACAGTATAGGCAAGAGATAATGAAGGTCTGAACTCCTAGTAAGGGGCAGTGGGTACAGAAGGGAAAACATTTACCCCTTGCTTTCTTGCTTGCTTTCAGATTTATGCCTCCAGATGATCCTTTAGGACGTCATGGCCCGAGCCTTGAAAATTTCTTAAGAAAGAGACCTGTTGTTCCTGAGCACAAGAAGCAACCATGTCCTTATGGTGAGTACCTATGTGCAGAACTGAATTCTGTACTAAGGGAAACATAAGGACTCTGTGAATACTTTTCTTTTCCAGGTTTTCCTTTCAAATGGGAAATCCTGGCTTATCCACTTCCTGTGAGTTAAAGTTTGTGTCTTCATATACTCTCAGTTAGGTATTTAAAGAAAAATTCTAGAAACTGCATGAGGAAACAGTAACTAGAATTGAAGAAAAGATTAGTTGTCACTTGTTAAAAAAACGCATGTGCCCTGGCTGCCTAAGTCCTGAGCAATGTTGCTGGGAGCAGGGAAATGCAGAAACCCACATGGCCTACAGAAGCAGAAAGGGCAATGCCAAACTGGGTTTGGCCCCAAGAAGAACATGTCTCTCAGGCAGGTGACTGCACCCTCTGTCAACTAATAATAATACCCTTTTCTTCTGAATTGTACTCTCCAGTTTGCTTCCAAACTTCATTTTCATTTGCTCTTTAAAAATATAGTTTTCTAGAGTGTTTTCATTCTCTTCCTGAGTCCCTCTGATACAAAGTTTGTGAGCCTAACAGTGCAACATGGGCTGCTTGGTCGAGGCTACTTTGGATGTTCGCTCTTTTTGGATAATCATTTGTTTTTATGGGACATTTTCGTTTTTGTCTTTAACATTTAAATCACAGAGTATTTTCATGCTTATTATCTCCTTTAATTTTTACAATGACCGTATAATATAGACATGATTATGAACTTTGTTTACAGAAGAGGAAAATGAGGCTCAGAAAATATTCACTTACCAATGTCACATGGCTAGTAAGGGACATAGCTACAATTGAAACTCAGGTCTGACTGGCCTCCAAACCTGTGCTCTTTGCACTGCACCATGCTCCTTTCTGTTACTCTTTGCTGCCTCAGCATACAGATTATGCCTAGGCAAAGTTGTGCACTATCGGAAAATAAAGGCTGTTCAACTGCTCAACTCTTAGCTTTTACACTGCAATTTCCTCCCCAGTTTTTCACTTCCTCCCTTTCCCTTTACAGTGTGTGATGCCTCCTTGGTGTTGTCTGTCTCTCATCTTTGTGGACAGTTAACTTTCTGCCTTGACCCCAAACAGTAAAATCCTAACCTGAGTGACCAGATTGTTATGACAGTTTCTGGCACAAAGGATTACACCCCTATGAGAGAGAGTCTTACCCCAAGGCATTATTTTTCAGGCAAAAAATGCACCTACGGCCACAAGTGCAAATACTACCATCCGGAGCGGGCCAACCAACCCCAGCGTTCGGTGGCTGATGAGCTCCGCATCAGTGCCAAACTGTCCACAGTGAAAACCTTGAGCGAAGGCACCCTGGCCAACTGTGGCACAGGGATGTCTAGTGCCAAAGGTGAGATAACCTCAGAGGTCAAACGTGTGGCCCCCAAGCGCCAATCAGATCCTAGCATCCGGTCCATGGCTGTGGAGCCTGAGGAATGGCTGTCTATGGCCCGTAAGCCTGAGGCCAGCTCTGTCCCCTCACTTGTGACTGCCCTAAGTGTCCCCACAATTCCACCCCCCAAAAGCCATGCAGTGGGTGCACTCAACACTCGTTCGGCCAGCAGCCCAGTGCCAGGATCCTCCCATTTCCCCCACCAGAAGGCCTCTCTGGAACACATGGCCAGCATGCAGTACCCCCCCATCCTGGTTACCAACAGCCATGGGACCCCTATTAGCTATGCTGAGCAATACCCAAAGTTTGAGTCCGTAGGGGACCATGGCTACTATTCAATGTTAGGTGACTTCTCCAAACTGAACATCAACAACATGCATAATCGAGAGTACTACATGGCTGAAGCAGACCGGGGGGTGTATGCCCAGAATACCAGCCTCTGTCCTGATAGCCGTGTGAGCCATCCCAGGAATGACAACTATTCCTCTTACAACAACCTGTACCTGGCTGTAGCTGATGCCCATCCTGAAGGCAGTTTGAAGCTGCACCACTCAGCATCTCAGAACCGTCTTCAGCCTTTTCCTTATGATTACCATGAAGCCTTAACGCGAGTACAGAGTTATGGCCCAGAGGATTCTAAGCAAGTCCACAAGCAGTCAGTCCCCCACTTAGCTTTGCATGCCCAGCACCCAGCAACTGGAGCACACTCCAGCTGTCCTGGAGACTACTCCATGCCTCCCAATATCCATCCCGGGGCAACCCTCCAACCAGGCCGTGCCCTAGTGATGACTCGGATGGATAGCATTTCTGACTCCCGCCTCTATGAAAACAACCCCATGAGGCAAAGACGACCTCCTCTGTGCCGGGAACAGCATGCCAGCTGGGACCCGCTGCCCTGTGTAACCGACTCCTATGGCTATCACTCCTATTCCTTGAGTAACAGCCTCATGCAACCATTTTATGAGCCAGTTATGGTACGGAGCGTGCCTGAAAAGATGGAGCAGCTTTGGAGGAATCCTTGGGTTGGAATGTGCAATGATTCCAGGGAGCATATGATCCCAGAGCACCAGTATCAGACCTACAAGAACCTCTGCAATATTTTCCCTTCTAACATCGTCCTTGCAGTGATGGAGAAGAATCCCCACACAGCAGATGCCCAGCAATTGGCAGCCTTGATTGTTGCTAAGCTTAGGGCTGCATGTTGACATGACATAGGACTTATTCTTTTATACAATACGAATATTAATACTAATAATACATTAATACTATGATTACAGTAACTAATAATTTGTGTTGCACTTTACAAGTTACAGTGTTTACATCATTTAAGCACATAACAACTCTTATTTTATAGAGAAGGAAATTGAAGCTCAGTGAGATTAAGTCACTTGCTAAGGTCACACTGCTAGCAAATGACCAAGTCAAGACGTACACCCAAGTCCTCTGACTCCAAGTCCTATGCCCTTTTGCACTGCACCATGCAGGTAATGGAGGACAAAACCCCAAGGGATTCCATTATCAGCATTTTCTTAGTCACAGTCTATATTACAAAGTATGGATGATATATAAAATTTAGCGAGCAAAAGCATCAGGACCAGATCGTATGTTGAATTAACTTTTTAGGTTTTTTTAATAGGAATATTTAAAGCTATTTAAAAGTAAATGCATACTTTATTGCATGGATAGCTGATCATTCAATATTTCTATCAATTAAGCTTTAGGGTCACACTGAAGCTTCTAGAACTATATTTCACACCTATTGTTAGCAATTATATTGCATGTCTGAATGTATATATTTGGTTTGAGATGTGTATCTGTATAACCTTTTACATAATGGTAATGAGAAGCTAGGCTCTGCACAGTCCTTAGTCTACAGCTGTATAGATCATGAATCTGACTTGATGATTTTATGTCATATTTCATAGTTTTGGTTATTTTTGAAAGTGAAATTACATGCCAATGTTTTAACATTGCTTTCTTGGGCACCAGAAAAAAACAGCTCTATTTCCTTTGCACTTTTTACTTGCCAACAGTTATTGACAGTTCTTAGCTTCCAAGTCTCTTCACCTCAGCAATTAGGGGTCAGGTTGCAGCCTTCTTCTGCAGAGGAGCTGATGGATAACCTCAAGTTTTGAACATAGAATGTGTTTGCTACACAAGTGCAGAAGAGTTTGACCAGGACCAAGGGACTTTCTACCAGAGTCCACAAACCTTATTCCAGAAGAGATGGCTCATATGGCATTAAATGATGAATACAAAAGCTTCACTCCAGGAGGGACTAATGGATGCTCTTCGGACTTCTGACCTATGCAGTATTCAATATCACAAGATGAAATGTAACGGAGGACAGTGCATAGCCATGTAATCCACTTTCTCCTGCTGTCCACCTTTTGGGCAATAAGGTCAATCATTGGTGGAGCAGAATTTCTTTAGGAAACAAAACCAGGGGATTTTCTAGGTGGAAAAAGGCAGCTTCCAAAAGCGGATGCTGCATCTTTACTAAGAGCTGGCTTAGTTACGCACTGCAAATCCATGCAGATGGTACACTTGCCATTAGATATTTCTTAAATGCATTACTAAAGAAGGCAAGACTCTGGGGTTGGGAGGGACCATTTGTGCAACTTGTATCTTGCTCAGGGTGGGAACCTTTGTAGCTAGATGCCTCTAGGAGAGGCATTGTTTTTTTAAGCTGCACTAACTGAACTCCCTTTTTGAATCCATTGTATATTTCAACATTTTGAACCATGTCCAGCACAGTATTTCTTGAGCTGGAACTTGCTAACTTCTATGGTCATTTTCATGAAAGTTAAGAAGGCCTGGCCTTGGCCTTTTGTTTCTTCATGAGAAGGTGTGACACTGCCTATAAATGTTTCTTACTGTGAAACACTCCGAATGTGAGGCTGTAGTCAGGGTTGTTTCTGGTGGTTTGATAATGGCTTGCATGCTGCTTCCTGGCTTTCTGTGTCTGTCCAAGTTGATTAATACTGCATCTCAACCAATGTTTCCCTTCAGTTAACCACAGCTTCACATTCACCTCCTATCCTCTAATCTTCCCATCCCCCAGCATACTGATAAAGTGTAGGTCCACAGAGAGTGACAGTTGCCACTGCAGTGCTTGCTATTTCACACAAACACCATTTCATTCCTTCAACTTTTTGGACCTTCTAAACCTGCCCTGTGTCTAAATCAGGGTATTTGACAATCTCAGATGACTCTAATGCCTTTGTGCCAGTTAATTCATCTTCCTACCAAAATCATCAATGGCACCGCAGTATTGACTAGCTGCACAATTTACAGGGAAGCACAAGATTATCCTTGTCAGCTGCAGTTCATCTTGAACATGTTCATATTTAGTACTCAAAAAAAATATAAGCTCCTCCCAATACAGGAAATATTTTAAGGCAGAACATCTATCTTATTTCCTAAAAATTATTGTCATTCTTCTCCTCTCATAAGATGTGTATGAACCAAAGCTAGGAGCAAAGCCTCAAATAACCAGAAATGACCTTTTGTTGATACAAATTGTATCTTTTTTTTTTTTTTTTATTGTATAGAAACAAATGTACAAAACTCATCTTAAGCTAGGTTCCTACTGAATTTTCACCATGATGTTTGTGGCACTATGTGTCACAAGGAAGTAGCCCAGGGGTCATGAAGGAGCTTTTATTTCCAAAGGGTAGTAATAGTTTATAGACAAGGCCTCTTTATTACTAGGTACACAGCTATTGTGTGTACAATTTCGAGCATTATATTGCATAAGTTCTCTTCAGCCTATTAAATTTAATATGTCCTTGAGAAAGGGATTTTGTGTAAAAAGTATCAGTGTTAGTGAATCATCTGCAGGAATCTAAAAATGGAGCTGTATAACTATGAATGCATAAAGATTGGTTCTTAATTATTAGAGAAACATTTTATTTATAATGAGGTCTGCATACTTCTTGACTTTTCCATTTTGTCTATAATTATAAAACAGCAAATAACAGAGAAGTATTGGGACCCCCCTTGATTCCCACGGTAATACAATCAAGCTTCTTTCATGGGGCTAAGAGTGTGTCCTTCAGGATACTTACCTCTAAGCACTCAGCAGGGGTTACTGCACATTGTTTTTTGTGGTTTTCAAGAAGCAGTATATTTTGCAAGAGGTGCTTTGTAATATTCTTTAACTGATTTTCTGACCTCATGGCAAGTCTGTGCCTGTTCAGGACTTAGATTTTGTAGATTTTGTGATTTGTATGTGTGTGTGTATGTGTGTGTAATTTTGTTGTTGTTTTCATTTTGATCTAAAAGATAAGTGTGACCCTGGAGTGGCACGGTCAATCCAGGGCACTCTTTCTGTAAGACAGCTCAGAGGAAAGGTGTCTGCCTTTTCAAAGGTAACATCAAACCACTGCACTCTTTGTTAAGGTGCCAGGTATGGAAGGTAGAATGCCTTCTGGAAATGGTCTAAGAAACTTTTCTTCTTCTAAGTAATGAAACACATAGCATGATTCATTCTCTCTCTCTCTCTCTCTCTCTCTGCTAGTTTCCAGGAGAATACTTCTCTAACATTTATTTTTTTCTATTTTGGAATAAATTCTCTTTATACAGTAATTCAAATATTGATATCCATTTACCTTTGGCACTGAGTTTTCTTCTAACATAGAAGAGTTCATTTTGAGAGACACTCAGTTACCATTATTTATGCTGTAAGTATGGCACTTTGTATTAATGTCCTTTTTCAGGGCCAACAATTTCAATACTTTGTTTTACTCTGTGAACCGGGTCTGGGTCTGCACAGGGAAAGTAATGCCGAGCTGTCCAAAGAGCCCTGTTCAGGGCTCCTCCTAACCCTTCTCTTCCTTCCCTTAGTTTGCTTCTCCTCAGGTCTGACACTGAGGAGTGCCTAGTCTTCGACTGAAATGACACTATAGTTAGTTCTCATTGGAAACCAAACCAGTATATTTCTGGAAACTGCTTGTATAAAGTAGTCAATGCCTTTGTAAAGATTCAGCATATTCATTATCTATTGTATTGTAGCTAGCTATATACATAGGCAGATTGACTATTTTTAGTCCTGGTTTGTGTATCATTGAGCTATAGTAGTTTGCTTTATCCATTTGTGGGATTAAACAATACTGTTTAATGGTTGTAAACTTTTATAAAACCTCTTTGGGTTTTTTGTTTGACCCAAACATAATGTAAGTCTCAATGACAAAATACACAAAGCCAATCAGAGGTGAGTGAAAATATATCCCTTCCCCAGTTGTCTGCCCCTGTAATGCACGTGCAATGTTTTGTAATATGTTCTCACTAGCATGAATATGTTCTGACTACTTCATGAGGCTTTAATTTGTTTTACCTATAATTGTGATGGAAAATGCTGTAATGTTGAGAACAATGAACTGTAACTACACTTATTTACTGCATAAACTATTTGTCTACTAACCACTAATGGCTCTGTTTCTTTAAGAACATGAATAACAAAAGCCATGCCACACGAAGATAAACATATACTTCAGTTTGCTGGATATTAATATTAAATTTCTGTCCTTGCGACTTGCATCTTGAGATAACCTATCAGGGCAGGGTTCATCTGAATTTTACCATGGTAAGCATATGCCCTCTCATTTTTGAAAACTAACACAGCTCCAAGTGCTAGTCGAACTGGTGCTTCCCATAGGTCAGGACTGGGCCTCCATTGGTGGGTCAGAACCAGGTGGCAGGCTCAGGGCCCAGACTTAATTTCTGTACACAGCCTATAGTTTCTCTCCTGAATAGCCTCAGGGCCACAAAGACATTGATTGTCCACTGAGCCTTAGCCAGAATATCAGAGCCAGAAGGGGCCTAGCACCCTACAGTTCACACTCAGGGAGTGCTCAGCTGCATCAACCATTTATGATTAAAGTCTGGTTATAGAGGATCCAAGAGAGCTAAAGAGATTTGACCAAGGCCAAACAGGATTAGTAGCAAAGGCAGGACTGGAAGCTCGGGCTTTGACTCCCAGGCCAGTAAGCCCTGTATTATAGTGGTGTCGGTTCTTCCCTCAGGCCTCTCTGGGGCCTCCTACCCATTCCCCACCCCAATCCAGGACTGTCTCATTCTAAAGGCAGAGGTGGTCACAGTGGCTGCAGCAGAGCCCAGCCTAGGATCCTTTGGAAGGGACTATTTGTGAATCTGAGAATACCTTTTTCTTTCATCATCTTCCATGGAACTAAGAGTGCTCATCCCCACCCTTTTCCTCTTATTTCTTACTCTTGCTGCCTCCTCTCACCTTCCTCAGGCATACATGTATCAAGTTGCTACTGAGTACCAAATCGGGGCCTGGCCTGTACCGGGCTAGGCAGACAGAAGAGATAGAAACAGTTCCTGTCTTGGGGAACTTGCACTCTAGAGGGGGAATGAAATTAATACCTTAAGACTTCCTTGGAGGGCAGTGGCAGTGTGAGGGCAGGAAGAGTAAGAACGATAAGAATTCCAAGAAGAGACAATTCAATACCCAGTGCTTCTTCCCTAATCACAGGTAGAAAATCAACTGGTCTGGCCATATCCCTCTTCAGCTCACCTGTCTGGCCTCATGACCTACCAAATCCTTCACAACACTATGTTCCAATTCTTCTGGACCCAACTCTGGTACCCCCAGCCATGCTCTTTCTCAACCCCTCCAGACTTTGAACTTCCTTCCACTCCTTGTTCTAACTAGTAAAGCCTTACCTTTGAAGACCCAGTGCTACTTACCCCATCAAGCTGTCCCACCTCCTGGTCCAGCCATTGCTAATCCCTCCACTTAGTGGGCCTTGCAGGAATTTTTAACAATACCTTTGTTAGCACGTTACTTTGTTATAAAGTTGTTACTTTGTGTCTCCATCACACAACAGGGAGTTCCTGGGGGGCAGGAACAATGTTCTTCATCACTGATGATTTCTCTCCTGTCAGGGGTCTCTTAATTACTGTTATTAAATAATAATATAATCTATGCTCCCATCCCTTGACCCCCATTCCCTTTCTCAGTTAAATGTGTGCAGTTCAAAGACTTTTTCTAATCACTATCTGATCACTAATCATAAGGGTCCAAGGGCAGTTTGCTTCCTAGCAGCAACACCCGCCACACCCCTCCTTACCCCCCTCATCCTGAAGTCCTTTAACTTGCCTCACAACTCCCAGGTTTTAGGAGTACTCCAGCCAACAATGACCCTTGGCTCTTACTTCCTCCGGACCTGCACTAGAAATGAACTAAGGCAGGCTGCTCTTCATCTTTAGGTCGGTCTTTTAGGGCCAGCGGAAAGCACTTTGTCATGGGTTATATGGAGACCTAAGTCCTGAGTTCAAGGCTCACCAACCCTGGCACAAATTCACACCACTCACACATACAAAGCATCTCAAACTTTAGTGTGCCTCAGAACCACCTGAAGGGCTTCTTAAAGCATAGATTGCTGTCCACCCTCAATCTTTCTGATTCAAAAGGTCGAGTGGGATCCAATAATTTTCATTTCTAACAACTACCCAGGCAATGCTGATGTTGAGAGAAAACGTTGGTCTACACCAACCTGCTCTGTGGCCTTGGGCAAATCTCTTCCCTTTTTGTCTCCATGTGTCTCAATGCATAAAATGAGAGGCTAGACTAGAACTGTGATTTCCAAACCTTATTATCTTTAGCAGCAAAACCTATCTTTCAAAAGAAATCTTATGTAGGATCCCAATACATACATGACAGTCAGGGCTGCTCTTGTGAAGTGGTGGCGCTTGTGGCACCCATCTCCCCATGGAGCAGGTGCTGGAATACCTCCCGGAGTACACATTTGCAAATCCCTTCAGTATATGTGGCCTAGATGCTCTTTGAGGGTTCTTCCAGCTCTGACATTCCAGGTTGCTAAAAGACTTTCAGCATTTGTCATTGTGAGGAGAGGAGTTGGAGGGAAACTGACTTTGCATTAAGTGCACAAGACTGCTTTACCCATGCCTAATGCTTCAGTCCACAAAGAAGAGGAAATCTTAACTCTGTTGGGCTGTTGGGCTCATGGACCCCTTTGACAATCTGATCTGATAAAAGCTGTGGATGAGCTTCCTAGAAAAATTATATACACATATCTACAAAGATATTTAGTATACCCTTTCAGGTGTTGTGGACTCCCTAGGTGTCCTAACTCAAATTAAAACCCTTCATTGGACTCTGGCCCAGCATTTCCACCAAATTCCTCCTTGACATTTTCATAGCATAATCCCTCTATTTCCTTTCATCATTTCTTGGCACAGCCACTTACAGAAATCCCTTAGCAGAGGCACTGGGTTATCACTTGGTGACTTTGTCCTTCCTCACCCGGCTGAAGACTTAGCAGTGAGAACATGGTTTATTTATCTCCATCTCTAGACAGCTCAGGGCTGACAAGAGGGAGACACTCTTGAGATGAGGTGGGAGTGTCTGAGGAGATAGGGTGACTACAGACAAGGGGCTTTGGCTACAAGGCCAAGAGTGGAGAAGTGACAAAGAAAGGATTTTCTCTGGGGCTGGCCAGTTAGATCAGTTGGTTAGAGCATGGCGTTATAAAAAGAAAGGCTTCTCCCTGGCTTTCAACTGCTGTTTGGTGCCCAGTTAGGGCAGGCAAGGAGATGAGCAGGAAGCCTGCTGGGCAGCAGCAGGAAGGAGTCTTCCCACTGTCAGGGAGGCTCTGAGCAAGCCCTCCCAACTCCTGGCTAGGCTGTGTGGCCAGCAGTGCCTTTCCTCTGGGGCCTGATGCTTCCAAGTGAGCTGGCTCCATACTATAGCTGAGGTGAGCAGAAACGGTTTGAGGAGTCAGGCAGAAAGTACGGGTGGAGCCTGGCTGTGAAAGCAATCAGGGCCAACGGGCCTAAGGAGCCTCAGGACCCAGTTCCTGTTCAAAGCCCTATTATGATTCCACCTTCTGGAGCACCCACAGTAAAGAGAGAGAACTACATTAGTCTACCCCAGCACACACCCCCTCATCTCACAAATACCAAAGTGACAGTTGCCTGTTTATTGTTTTTTAAAACAAAACAAAACAAAAACCCAAACATTCGAAATTCCACCATGGTGGAAAGCCAAATTGATGTGGCTGATCCGGGCTGTCTCCCAAACTGTTTCACAGAGCATCAGGTGCATCGGGGGTGGGCTGTTGCCACCCCCAATGGCAAAAAGGGCTGGATGAACACTTGCACCACAGAAGGCATCAGAAGAGCTGCAGGCCAGTTTTGAGCCCATGCAGCTGCCCCTGGCTCCAGAGAAGGCCTTCAAAGTTGCTACTGCTGCTGTTGCTGCAGCTGCCACGGCTGACACCACAGCTCAGGCCCAGGGTGCTGTGGAGAGAGTAGGGGGTCAGTCTGGGAAAAAGGCAGCTTTAGGCTCTGAAGGGACCAAGGGAGCCTGATATGTAAGTGTCTATAGGAAGGGCCCACCGTCCTGCCTGGCTTTACAAAGAGACTGGAGCAAAACTGAGAAACTTCAGTTGGGCCCCTGTGGTGACTGTGCCTTGCCCTCAGTTGGAGAAAGGAGGGAGGGAAGGAGGAGTGGAACTTTTCAGATGAAGCTTTATGCAGAGCCCCAGGACATATACCAGATTAAAACAGAACTGTTTGGGTTGATGTAGGGGAGGGGACCCCACACCACCCCATCCCCAGAAAGATACTGAAAGTGGGAGCCTTAACAGGGCCTCCTTCCAAAGCCCTAGAGCTTGGGGTCTGGATCCCTTCCATACCCAATAGCTTGTTAAAGAGCCCAAGGCCCAGGCTTGGGCTTTAGGGCTAGGCCCAGGTCCCATCCCATGATTGCAAGATTGCTCTAAGAAGATGACTGTCCTCCCTCTCCCTAGCTTTGCTGAGAACACTCTTGCTTCCCCTGCTTTCTGCAGGTCAAAAGTCCTTCCAGCTGGGTGAGGGTGACAACTGAGAGTAAAACCATCATCCTTCCCCTCAGGCAGATCCATGGTTACACTACTGCAGCTGAAAAAACCCTTAGAAATAATCTAGTCCCATCCCCTCCCATCACCCACAATTTTACAGACAAGGAAACTGAGGCCCAGAGTTGAGAAAGGACTTGCCCAAGGCCACATAGCCAAGTCAGGGATGGAGCTAAGACAAGGAGCAGGGGTGGGCATGTCCTGCTCCAGCAGAGGAAGCCTCCCTACTACAAGGAGTGTGGGAATTGGGCGGAATCAACTTCCTTCTTGATTTAACAGCTCCACCTGCCCACACTTCACCATTGATGTCTTGGTGCTCATCAAGCCAGCCTTACCCAGGGTCAGGCTGGAGGCTGAGGGGAGAGGAAACCTCTCTCAAACACATAAACCCCACCCCCAACTAGAGACCACCTGGCTTCCCCAGCTGCCTCGTCTCCTCTCCAAGAGGACTGTGGCTCCCTGGCTTTGGACAGAGTCCATGGCATTGCCTTGGGCCTGGCTTGCTGCTGGGGCTCCTGGGTTCTACAGCCCTCTCCCAGAATGTCCAGATGAAGCAGGGCTCATGTCCCAGGGAGTGAGCAGGTAGCACAGGGATAGAATCTCAATTTCAGGGGCCCAAAGGGGTCTCTCTCTGGTACTCACAGGATTCTCCTGGTCACAGTGGCCCAGCATTCTGGAATGTACAGGCCCTCTGGATGGGCTCCTTTGTGTTACCAGCATAGCCCTTCAGCAAGGGCTGCTTGGTTCCTGGCTCCCTGATGACCCATGGGCTCCCACGCCTGTGATCCAGAGGCGAGTTTCGAGGGAGAGCACGGAGCCCTGCGCAGGCCTTGCTACCAAGATGCCTGGACAGTGCGGGGAGGCCTACTGATTACTCTGTGCACCTTTGGAGAAATCTCTTCCCCTTTCTGAGCCTCAGTTTTCTCCTCAGGAACATGAGCAAGCTGGATTACAGCATCCATTCTTGACCTTTTAGGAGTGGTGGACCCTTTACAGAATCCATTGAAAGCTATAAACCCCTCGCCTCCCAAAATGCATGCATACACACATCCACTCACACACAATCTGGATGCAGTCAGAGAGGGGAGCCAAGCCAGTTCTTCATGGCTACTTCACTGGCTCCCCACACTAGAGGCAGGGAGTCCTGACAAGGGCCCTGCCGGGGACTGGAGCTTATACTTCACTCATTTAGTCCCTGACTGGGAACATCTACCTTCCCCACCCACCCCACTTTGTCTCCTCCTCTCCCTCCCACAGGCAGCAGAGAAAGGGGAGGAGAAATCCTGCTGCCGTGGGCACTCACCCAGACTTGCACTTTGGGGGTTCCAGCCGCCGCTCTAGCACAGGCTGGTCCAAAAGATACATGGTGTCATAATTCTCCAGCATAAGCTCTGCTGGGTCCTCAGTCTGACCTGGCATTTGGCCTAAGGGGAATGTGTCCCATTGCACATCTTCTGTGGAGCAAAGGGAGGTGGCAAGAGTGGGCCGATGAGCTGGTTCTCCAAATGGCACACAGGCCCACCCACCCTGTTCATCTACCCACCTCACTTAGCCTGCTCACCACAGGCTCTCTGAGTACCTCCAACCTCACTCCTCTCTGTATTGCTTCTCATGAGCTCCTCTACCTTCGTGCCCCACCACACACTCTTCACGGCACTTCTTCCCCTCTATGTGTTTATACACACACACAAGCACACAACTACAGACATTTTTGTTCCTTTCTGCTCTTCTCCCACTTCCCCAGGCACATCCCCACAAAGACACAGACAACTTCTTCAGACCTGGCTGTACCACTGCCTCAACCTCTCACCATCACCCCTATTCCCCCACCTGTGTACACACACAAACACACACACACACGCGCACACACATCCTGGATGGTCTGGATGTCCCAGAATTCCCACAGCACCCCTTCTCCAAACCCACCCATACCTCAGAGTACCTGAATGACCTAGATTTTCCTACACATCTGCACACAAACCCCCTGATGTGTCTGAATGCCACATCCTTTCCTAGTGGCCTTGCCTGGAGAGATACGCTGACACCCACCTCAGAGGTAATATGCTTCCCTGACCCCTGGTAAGGTCTTCTTGCCCTCAAATGCACAAAGAACACCCCTTCTCTAGGGAAAGGCTGTGTCACTGCACGTCCCACCCACCACCACCCAAGTATATAAACAGAAGCACAAATACCAAGCACTCCATTCAATGAAAGTCCCCAGTTTCACTACCTGCCTCCCACACCTCTCATTCATAGGCACACAAACCAGAGATCTTCATGTCCCTACCTCCTCACAAATGTGTACGCACAAACAGAAGCAATGGCAAGAGGCAGAGGGAAAGATTAAATACCCTAGCCTTTCCAAGTTCACAACCCCCATACTCCACTTTAGGATGGGCCATGCCAGGTATTCCCCACCCGCATCTGTCATATCACTTCACCACCCTCCATACAGTATCATATGAAACACCTCCCTCCCCATCCTTACAAAGATACATCCAATGTTTTCAGGTGAAGCCTTCACCAGCAAGCTCTTCCACGTAGATTCTGTTTCTGGCCTCCTACATCTCCCTGCTACTCTCTGTCAAGAATTCTCCATCCTAATGCCCCTGGCATTCTGTAAAGAATCAACCCTGGACCAGCTCTTTATGTAACCCATACAGAAGCCCCTCAGGAAGGGCTGCTCCTCTGTCTGCCCATCTCCCAGCTCTCTTACAAGAAATCATGCCTGTCTAAATGCCCAGCATTGCTCTATGATACAGAAACACCTTCATGCACAGGGGCTCTGTCTGTCACTGACCTGATCACCCTCCCCATCACTAATATCCCCAACACTGTCTAAATCACTGCCCCTGCCTCTTTAGCCTGACACCCTTGTACATGTCCCCTCAGTGATAGCACAAACACATAGGCCACCTCTGGATGGCTGCCTCACTGCCTGTTCCCACACCACTCCATAGACCCCCACCTCTTGGTGCTGCAGCTTCTCTCTCATACAGATAACTCTTGGTCTTCATGCGTCTTGGTGGCCCTGCCTACCCTTCCAAAAATATACATGATCACACATGCACGTGCACTACAGCCCACTTTACAATGCCTTCTTTTACTGCCCCTACTTCTCTCTCTCTCTCTCTCTCTCTCTCTCTCTCTCTCTCTCTCTCACACACACACACACACACACACACACACACTCTTCTGCCTACGTCAATGCCCCTCCCTTTTGATATTTACAAAGACCACCAAACACAGCCCTCCTAGCCCTAAGATATGTTTCTGTCACTGTGCCATGGTCTGTCCAGCAGGCCTGGGACACACCCATACACACACACACACACACACACACACACAAAGACATAAACACATTCTCCCACCCCTAGCACTCAGGGTTCTTCTTCATGCCCTAGTCTTTCCACATCTGTCCACACAAGGGCAAAGCCTACAAGTTTCCGCATAAGCTCATTCACTGCCTCCCCTCCCACTTGCTCCTTGTCACTCCCCACCATGCTCACCCTATACCACACCAGGCCCAGCTGTCTTCCTTCCCTCCCTCAGGCTCTAGCATATAAACTGTGCCCCTGCCTCCAGTGTGTACATGCACACACACCAGACTATTCTGTCACCCCTTCCGGGTCTCCTTGCCTTGAGGTTCCTGTTCCCTAATGTAAATGACGGCACTCAAAAGACCATCCTCAGAGGAGCATATTCATGTTCCCCACTCTCCCATCACCTACCCTCCCTGCACATCCTCTTGGCTTTGGTCACACTAACTTGTGTGCATACCTAAAAACCATATCACTCTTTATTCTCTCTTCTGATGTCACTTCCAGTTTCTCTCACTTAAATGCCGTGGATTGCTTCTTTCTAATACACACAGCAAAATCCTGTCTTACAGCCAGCCAGCTTCCATGTGTACATACACACACACACACAACAGAGAACACTGTCTCACTGCATGTGAAGAACATGTGCAGAATCATATACATATATACCCCCTAGCTCTTCTTTTCTTCTGCCTTTTACTGCCCAGTGCCCACACCCACACCATCCCCTCCCAACATGATCTCTACATGAAGCAGCCAGCAGCCTGACAGTGGTCCCTGGAGCTTACATGCTCCATCCTAAGTGGGAGAGAAGCTGGCTCCCAGGATGGCCTCACATTGCCTACCTCCTGCTACTTTCCATCTCTTCCCCTAAGAAAGAAATGGTGAAAGGAAGCCATAAGAGCTGGCCAGAGAGGGAAGAAATTGGTGTAGGGAGAAAGTGGATATGAGGCTTCTTACCTAAGCTAACTTGCCATGCAGAGCCCTGCAAAGCTTCTCTCTTCTGGGCCAGGAGCCTGGCATTCTCAGCAGTGGGGGACTCCTGCCCCACAGAAAAAGACCCGATCTCCATTCTCTCTTCCTCCTCTTCTTCTTCTTCTTCTTCTTCTTCTTCTTCATCATCATCATCATCATCATCATCATCATCATCATCACCATCATCACCACTACCACCACCACCACCATCTTCATCATCATCATCATCTTCATCCTCCTCTTCCTCTTCCTGGTCATCATTTTCCTTTTCCTCTTCCTCCTCCTCCACCCGGTCTTGCAAGACCTCTTTCAGATTCTTCTCTTCTTCCTTGACATCATTAAAGCTGCCCTGCTCCTCCTGCTGCTGGGCCTTTCCTTCAGACCCAAAGCTGGAGCCAGCTGGTTCAAGGCTCCCATGCAGACTGTCCAGTGTGTATGGAGACTTCCCAATGGGGGAGACCTCTGAGCCCTCTTGCATCAGGCAGTTTTCTCCACTCTGGGTATAAATGGAACAGATGCTCAGCAGCTTCTTCTGCTCTTCATCTGGTAGCACCTGCCCCATGGCTTTGAAGACGCTAAGCAAAGAGAGGGATGAGGTAAGAAAGATTCAAAATCTCAAATCACTTCATACCACAACACTCCAGGGTTTGAAATTGGTCTCTGAGCTTTCAGATGTGCCTGTGAAAGGCAGTGCAGTAGAGCAGACATAACATAGAAACAACAGGACCATGGACGCTGAATTAGCTCTGTGGTTTGTATTTGTGCCTTACTTCCGTTCTCAGTAAAAGGAGGAAAATGAGTACCTAACTTACAGGGTTGTGTGGAGGAATAAGAAAGCTCACACAGAGATGGTGAGCATGCTGATAGTGTTGATTTGCTCACCACATCTTGACGGTCAGCTCTTGCCCCATGAATATGTATAATCAATAAAAAAATTAAAAATTTAAAAATTTTTAAAAAAGAATGCCTGGCACAGTGCCTGGCACATAGTGGGCATGTGATAAATGATAGCTATTAGTCCGTACTGAAACACTGTGTAAATATACAAAGTACCCAATGGGCCTGCAGGGCTGGAAATGAGAAATGGCAATTCCCTCTCTCCTCTGGCCTTAGCTGAGCAATCTGTCCTGAGCTCCAAGGATATGCCCAGTGGAAGTGTGCTGGGCTCCTCATGCATGGAACAGAAAGTGATCCCTTTGTGGGAGTGGTTACAGCCCAGCCTAGGATGAAGGAAAAGAGGGAAAAAAAAAAAAAAAAAAAGCAGTGGTTGACAAGACAAAGCAGGATGTGGAAGGGAGGCCAGATGAGCACTGCAGATCTATTGTGGGCACTACAGGAGCCAGGGGGAGACAGAGAGCACAAGGAGGCTGGAGAAACCAAGGGGGGGGGGGGTTCATGTGGGAGGTGGGGCCCTGGAGGACCAGGGACAAGAACAAACACACTGTGCTCCTTGCAGTGACACTAGTCTGGCTGGAGGGCAAGGCCTGTGCTGAGGAGCCGTGGGAGGAAGGAAGAGGAGGCTGGGAAGGTAAATGTTGTGAGTTGGGGCAGGGGCGCCACCTGCCAACTCTAAGCACAGGTGAAGGCTGTGTTTCTGAAGATCACCATGGTGACTGTGTGAAAGATGGTCTGGACGGGGCAGCCTGGAGGCAGAGACACCAGGGAAGAGCCTGTTCCAAACAGTTCAGACCCGAGTCGTGAGGGCTGACCTAGGGCACTGGTGGTGGAGATGGGAGGGAAAGAAGCTGTGGAGGACAGTCAGACAGAGAGCAGGGCTTGGTAACCAATTGCAGGGGTCAGGCAGAGGAGGGTTAAAGATGATAACACTGTGCACACAGAAGATGGTGCTAACAACAAAACCAGCAACAGATACAGAGCTGCTGGGAAGCAGAGCTCGTAGGGAGGAAGAGGGTGGGCATCCCTCACAGAGCAGAGCCTCACACAGAACCTAGGACCTAATAGGCACCTGGTCACTGCCAGAAACACGGGTGGGGTGAAGGAAGGGATGAACAGTTTCCTTCTAGGTGTATCAGTTTGAACGGCAGGTGGCTTACAGAAGGGCAGTATGCCCACTGGGCTGTTTTCTCTCTGGCACATGCAAAATGGACACGTATGCATGGTCACCAATCAGTGGGGACAGGGCTGGGATCTGGGAGACTCTCTGTGGTGCTAATTTCATATTCAAAGAAGACACTGGCTCAAATTGAATTGATACTGTCTGGCTGGGGGAAGTTCTTGAAAAGCCTCCAGCTTTTTTTTTTTTTTTTTTGCTTTTCTTTTTAAAAGATGACCAGTAAGGGGATCTTAACCATTGACTTTGTGTTGTCAGCACCACACTCTCCCAAGTAAGCCACAGGCCAACCCAAGTCTCCAGCTTTATCAGAGGAAAGCCAGAGAAGAACTATGCTCTCTCACTGTGGTCCATTAGTGTGATTAATAATACATATTCCCAGGCACTTGATATTGGCAAGATGCCTTATAAGTGCTGTTTATTATTACCCACCACTATCTCAAGCTGTGTAGTCTGACCACTAACATGCAGGGGTGATACAAATCTTAAAATACATCTCCTTCCTCAGGTATGTCTGGTCAAAGCTCACGACTGAGGTCACAGATTCAGGCTGATGGAAAGAAGGTGGATTTTGGACTCATATGACCCGGGCCCAGAACCCTGTCCCACTGTCAACAAACCTTGTGACTTTTAAATAAGTCATATAACTTCTCAGAGCCTCAATGTCTTATCTGTCAAATAAGGGTATACTATCCTCACCTCCTAAGGTGGTTGTGTCAAATTAAATAAAGTAAACCCTACAAAAAAACACAGCACCATGCCTAACATATATTTGCCAGTGGTATCTTTTATTTTTTTCTCTGGGGAAAACAAAAGCCAAGTTCTGATGTGTTTAATAACAGATGCTTTCTTACAATCTAGCGGAGCATTCTAGAATAGCACAGGACTATAGACAAGCTATCTAGATTCTGATCCCAGCTCTGACTTGCAAAGTTGCTATGACTTGCAGCACAATACCTGCCCAAATCCGCTTTGTTTCCCACTCTGTGCGATGGGGTGATTAGGACTCTAGATTCACTGGTTATCTGGGAAAGCCAGGATCTGTGCACAAAGAGTTGTACCCAATGAACCGATGTTAGTGCTGGCATCTGTCACATCCCTCTGGTATGCTTAGATTGGGAGAAGATCTCTGTGGTCCAGACTTCTCCAAGACCAGCAGCTTCCACTCTGTAGGCACTTAGGATTGGAAAGTACCTTGAAGGCCACCTATCCAAACCTCTCCATTCTCATCTTTTCATACCCTCCACCCCATTCTACACACATACCATGTTCCTTCTGGACTTTTAAACTTCCTTTATTTTTTTCCCTGCTTAAATTGCTCAAATGCCTCCTCTGTGATGCTCTTCCTGACTTCTCCAGGACCTTTTATTTCTCCTCCCAGTTTCCCACCCATCCATGTCACTTCTAGTCTAGAGCACCCATATCTAGCGATATGGCTGTTTGATTCAGTCTCATCTCCTGGAGGTCCTACCTGGGCTGACTTTGTCTACAAGGCCACGTTTTTTATCTTATAAACACTACTATGTCCCAAATGCCATCAGGGTTTAAGAAAGACTTTTGGACTCAATAGGAGGATCAGGAGACAAAGAAGGTTTTGGCATCTAGACTCCCACTTCATTCATTTCCCAGGCACTGAATCAGCTCCCATCAAGGACAGCACTGCTGGCAATGAGACAGTTCAGTTCAATGACTTTTACTGAGGCCTGTTTCGTGCCTGGACTTGTGTGGTGTGCTAGGCACAGAAAGCTAATGCAGGGCCCTTGCCCTTGAAAACCTTAGTCTGATAGAGGGAAGGAGACATAGTGACACAAAATGTCAGATTTGGGAAGTATTTGAGAATCAACAGTACAGGGTAGATGGTGCTGCCACTAAGTGAGATAAGGAACAGAGGAAAAAGATCACTTTGGAGTTAGGGTGGGAGTAGGATGACTAATTCTCTTTTGGTCAACGTAAGGTGCCTGTGGGCTACCCAAGGGGAGATGTCCAACATGCCGTCAAGTAGGAGACTGACTTTTGGCGGAAAGGCCTGGGGTGAAGAGATTTGGGACTCACCACTTCATACGAAATAGTAATAAGCACAGATATTTCAAGGAGGGAGTGGTAAATAGCATCGATACGGCAGACACAGACTGACAATGGCTGACTGGATTTGGTAATTAGGAAGTTAAAGCAGCTTTGCAGATGAATGCCAAATTGCAGCAGGTTGAGGAGTAAGAGGGTAGTGAGGAAATCGAGACTGCTGAGTGTATACTACTCTTTTGAGATGTTCTGATGGAGGGAAAGGAGTGATAAGCTAATGACAACCCAAAAGAGGGATGCAGGGTCCAAGGAGGTTTTGCTTGCGTTGTTGTTATTGTTGTTTTGTTTTAAGATGAGGAAGAACTCAGGCACGTTCATAGGTTAAAGAGTGAGAGCCAGCAGAGCAAGCGAGAGGCTAGGGTGAGGCCCCAGTGATACTGGCAGAGGTGGCTCCAGCGCAGATGGAGGAGCAAGCTTTGAGGCAGGACAAGGCCACCCCACCCTGAAACTGGCAATTAGGTTGAGTGCAGTTGCAAATCAGTTCAGAGCTGGACCTTCAAGAGGGCCCTGCTGGATGCCTCCATGTGCCTGAGGAAGCTAGGTTGAAATGGGAGAGGGTAAGGGGCTTGAGTGTAAGGGTTTAGAATAGTCAAGAAATGGGAGAGACAGTGGTCAGAAAACAAGTAAAAGTCTAGGCAAGCAGAAGTGAGGTCTAGCCCAAGATCAAAAATCATACCTCTACAGTGGCAACAATCCACAGGGCTATGTGGTTTTCTCCAGCAGAAGTCAGCTACCCGGACTGAGGAGTCGGGGAAGCAGAGTGTGGAGGATCAAAGCCAGCTCAGGGATTTGCAAGTCAGATAGGGCCAAAGGATAGGCAGAGCTCAGGGTGCTGATGATGAGTGGCTGAAGTGATCAACCACAGACAGGAGCAAGAGGAAGCAAGAACAAGGGAGATAGAAAATGGAGGGATGGAGTTCCGGATGCAGGCAAACAGCAGATATCATGGGATGCGAAGGGAAGAACTAGAGGACAAGAGGTGGTGGTCACCAAGTGGGATGCTAGGATGTCAGCTTTCAGAGGTGGAATAGCTCTGAATGATGGAAATGAGTTGCTGAGTGGAGAACGAAGGTCACTGAAGTTGAGGAGCTACAGAGTATCAGATGGGTCACCCAAATCAAACAGATACTGCTCCAGAAAACAGGAAGAGAATCAGGTGCTAAAGGCTTCCATGAGTATGAGGGAAATAGCTTAGGGGCAGGAAATGACAGAGAAAAGGAAAGGGAGACAATGACAGGTATTTATAGGAACCAGTGCAATATTCAGTTTGACCACAGAACCCAGGGTGGATTGGGTAAAGGGGACTCATGGGAGGTATGGTCACCATGATAGGTTGGGCCAGAATCAGAAAGATCTTTGAACACCAGGCTAAGAAGCTTGGACTTCACCAGGAAGACAATAGGAAGCCACTGAAAGTTGCTGAGCAACTATCAGAGGTATACTTTGGGAAGATAATAGAGGAAACAGCACTCGGCTTGGAATCAGAAGACCTGGGTTCAGCAATAAACAGCACCTACCATTTATTGTGCATTACTCTACTGTACTAAATACTACTCTACTGTAATACATACTCTACTGTACTAAATACTCTAGTGGGATTGTCTCATCCATTCCCATAATGGACTTAGTTTAGTCAGGTCTTAAGCTGTCAGATCTTAAGTAAGAATACCCTCTCTGGACTCAGTTCACCCATCTGTCTGTGTGGGGGGTGGGGGGGAGACTGGGCTAGATGTCCTCTAAAGAGCCTTTCCAATTTGGCCATTCTAGGGCTGTGTGGCCTTTCCGCTTGAAGGGCCTCACCCTCTTACCAGATGGAATTCAAGAGACTTACAGCTGAAGGAGTTCAGGGCTGGCCCAGCAAGGTGAGCCCAAGCAGGACTCAACCACCCGGGGCCAGTCAAGGGAGGCAGAGCAGTTGAACAGCCTCCAGTTCCTTCTCGCTTCCCACTGGCTTGCAGAAAATCGGCGAGCATTCCGTCCTGAGACAGAAGAGAGGGCATGAGGAGAAGGAACCAGTGAGCCCCCCACCCAATCTTACACCTCGAAAAGTTTGGCTCTGTCCCTCCCCATCCCACCAGATTCCCCACCCTATACCTCCCAACTGCTCAAAGCATTCAGGGCACTTTGCCCCAGCCCAGTTTAGATGGCTCTGAGAAGAAAAAGAAAGAGGGCGATTTGTCCACTGCTGCTGCGGGGCCCTCTTTGGCAAACCTAAACCTTTAACAAGGGAGGTGTCTGCCTGGTGTTTCTCAGCAGAGAGCCGAGGACAGTGGCAGATGCTCCTGCCTGGGCTGCCTTAGGCTCTGGGTAGTCTCCCTCACCAGTCTTGGTGTTGGCCACGATCAGTTCAATGGTCCATCTGAGGATGTAGGTGGGCCGGATCCCTCTGTCCCCCAAGGCTGGCAGCTCAGAGAACATCCTCTCCAGCAGGGCCTGTGTGAAGGTCTGGGAGTGCAAGCCCCTGAGCAGGGGCTGCCAGAACTGAGAGAACGGCTTTGGCACCAGGATGTCATTCAAGTCCACGTTTTCTGGTTCATGAGGGACACCCATTGAAGAGGGGAGGAACAATTGTGGGGGAGAGAACATGAGCCAAAGAGGGAGACAGAGAGCGTGCACGCATCAGTGAGCCCCACCAACAACAACAGAGTTGCCATCGCAGAACAGCAGGAAAGAGGAGAGCAGAAGAGCGGGAAGAGAAAGACTAGTTAGTATCTGGCAACCAACAACTGACTCAAAGTATAAAAGAAAAAGAGTTCTGGTTCTAGCTTCAGCTTTGTCAGTAACTTGCTCTGTGACTTTGGGTCAGTACCTTCCCCTCTCTGGACCTCAGTCTGACCATCTGTAACATGAGGATGCAGGACTAGATGACTCACCAGGCCCTTCCAGTTCTGCTGTTCTAGCTCTCTAGTTAGTGGCTAAATCACAATGAACATGGCACAACAATAGAATTAAGATCCCCCCCC